TGTGTGTGTGTGTGTGTGTGTGTGTGTGTGTGTGTGTGTGTGTGTGTAACATCTACATCTTCAGTTTCATTCTCAGCAGAGAAAATAATCTTTTCTCAGAAAGAAGAAATTCTTTGAATGATTTCCTTTAGAAGTGTGTCATCACCCTATAAGCTATAAGCAACCTTCATATCTCATTCAAAATCTTTTAAAAAAAATTTTTTTTGTATAATTAAATGGTGTTGTAATATTTAGTCACCAAAGGCTTCGTGTTTTTACAAGAAAACCTTTTCTTTTATGGCTCTTGGCATTTATCTTGACTGTTTAGAAATATATGAAGAATTTTTCTGAACCTTCCGCTGAAAATCTATTCTTTAATCACCAAAGTATAACCACTAATGTGTCCTTGTTTATCCTGAAAATACAAAAACTGAAGCATGAGTAAATTTTGTCTCAGCTGTCTAGACAAACACATAGTGTTGTATCTAAACCCAACTTTTCATGGGGGTATATTCTATCTAGAATTGGATAGACCTAGCTTCTTCACTTGGTTAAGATCAGTTAACCCTTTAAGGTTTGATTCCCTCCTCTTTTATTCAGTAGAAATAATAGTCCTCTCTGTTCATTGATGGGCAAAAATAGAAAACCTAAAGAGTCACTGTTTTCTTCCCTTAGGAAGTAGAACTCCTCATTACCCTAATTAAATCAGAAAAAGGAAGCCTGGGTTTTACAGTAACCAAAGGCAGTCAGAGTATTGGTTGTTATGTTCATGATGTCATTCAGGATCCAGCCAAAAGTGATGGAAGGCTAAGACCTGGGGACCGGCTCATAAAGGTGAGACATTATCAAAATGGATTTGTGCAAGTGTAGCCAAAAACTAAGCCAGAGCTGGAGGAGAACAAGAAGGTTGAGTTAATATAACACTCCATTTATTTGTTTGGTTTATATTTTCTATCTCAACCTCTTAAAGATAAAGGCCTTTATATAGTTAACAGGCCCTTTTTAATTAGGAAGTGCCTCTAATCTCACTTAAAGCATAGGCTTTAAGCTATCCTGGGTATCAAGGACAGAAAGTTTCTTAAATTCATATGAGGATAAGTTTCCTATATTAACAAAATAGTGATGCATTTACATTTTACATTATTATTTCATATGTAATTACTTGATCATTGTACTTACGATTTCCACAGTAAAGGGAATTAGCAATAAATTAGAGACCACTCTTACTGGCTAATATACAGGTAGGGAGATTACTGTATTTTCATGGCAACTTCTAATCCTGTTTTGCCTCTTTCTCATTTTTGTAGGTTAATGATACAGATGTTACAAACATGACTCACACAGATGCAGTGAATCTGCTCCGAGCTGCACCCAAGACAGTCAGATTAGTTCTAGGACGAGTTCTAGAATTACCCAGGATGCCAGTGCTGCCTCATTTGTTACCTGACATTACATTAACATGCAACAAGGAGGAGTTGGGTAATGCACATTCAGGCTTTGTGCAGTGTGATTTTCTTGGCTAGGTTAAAAGTAAGTACTCTTAAGACTAAGGAAACGAATATTTTCTATTCCCTGAAGGTTTTTCCTTATCTGGAGGTCATGACAGCCTTCATCAAGTGGTATATATTAGTGATATCAATCCGAGGTCAGTTGCAGCCATTGAGGGCAATCTCCAGCTATTAGACATCATCCACTATGTGAACGGAGTCAGCACACAAGGAATGACCTTGGAAGAAGCTAAGAGAGCATTAGACATGTCACTTCCTTCGGTGGTGCTGAAAGCAACAAGGTACTCTGCAATTACTTATGGGTTTTGTGTGTTTGCACAAGTTTCAAGCTGTTGATTACACTTATGATATCTTAAAAAGCAATTCCTAAATTAGTAACTCACAGACTAAACTGGCAAGAATTAATAAAGTTAGAACAGACTTCTTTTCTTTTTTTTACATTTTTTATTTATTTAAGTACTCTCTACACCCAACATGGGGCTCGAACTCACAACCCCAAGATCAAGAGTCACATGCTCTTCCAACTAAACCAGCTAGACGCCCCCAGAATAGAATTATTGATAGGAGATTCCAAGAGCACGTTAAGTGGATTAGTGTTTGGATATATGTTTGCAGCTGTCAATAATGTAGTTACTACGTTTGTCAACATGGTTTCTGTTGTAAGTAACAGAAAAATACAACTCAACTTGGTTTAAGCAATAAAGGGTTTATATGATTTTAAAAGTCCAAAGATGACGTGGTTATCAGGTAAAATGGTGATGCACTATCCAGAACAGTCTTCTGACAATCCTCCCAATGACTGTGGTAAACCAAGGACTGTCTGCTGATTGCCTTAGACCTAAATTAAGGCCAGTCCCTGAGTTGAGGCAAAGGGATAAGAATATACTGATTGGCCTAGGCCAGTCCTGGCCCATTCCCAGAGCTGGGGCAAAGTCAATCCTACCCAAACCTCATGTCTACAACCAATGAGGCATAGAATTACCACTTTCAGTACACCATATAACAATTTCACATTATAAGAAGTGCTAATGGACACTTTTCTTTCACTTAATAATATATATAAATTAGAAAAAAAAAGTATTATTAGTTTCAAATTACTACAGGTATAGTGGCTTAAATTATACAAGTTTATTATCTTAATAGTTCTGGAAGCCAGAAGTACAAAATGGGTTTCACTGGGCTAAAATCAAGATGCTATCAGGGCTGCATTCCTTCTCTAGGCTCCAGGAGAAAATCCATTTCCTTGCCTTTTCTACCTTCTAGAGATTCCCCATATCCCTTGGCTTATGGCCCCCTTCCATCATCAGAGCCAGCAGTGACAACACTCTACTTCTGTTGTCACATCTCTTTCTCTGACTCTGCCTTTCCTGCCTTCTTTCACTTATAAGGACCCCTGTGATTACACTGGGCCTGCCTAGATGGTACAAAATAACCTCCCCATCTTTAGATCCTCAGCTTACATCTGCAAAATCCCTTTTACCATGTAAGGTAACATATTCACAGGTTTAGAGGATTAGAATGTAGACACTTTTGTGGGGCCATTATTCTGCCTACTACAGTGTACATACAACCAGGCTTTCTAGATTACAGATTTATGTTACATTTTATCTATGATACATGGTGAGTTTGACATAGTATGTCTTTGAAAATATAGGAACTATAATTAAATCATTTGATCATAAACATTTGTTCCTTCTAAACCTTTAAATTAGATTACATACTTTTTACCTTTGAATGTAATCCCTGCTCTGTTTCCCTCCTATATTTCTAAAGATTTGATCAGCATATATTTATTTTCATAAATGTAGCTGAATGTTAATTAGTGGAGGAGGAAAGTATTCAAACAACCTGGAAAATATTTTTGTGAAAATTAATATCTCTGCTAACGATAGATCTAACTGAATTTTTTTGCCTCAAAATCCGTAGAGTACCCTTTCCCCCAGCCCTGAAATCACTTTCTTTTGCCTTTCTGCTTTTATCTTCACTGTAGTCACTACAGATATAGTGTTGCTAGTCACAATTACTTTCCCCTTCCTCCTTCCTCCAGCTTTCTCCACTACTGTATATATCTGTCCTCTTTAAAGTCCAAAGGGTAGCCATAACAGAGGGATAGAGATCTGTGGTAATTTTCTGTACGTCAAGAACTGTGCAGGGTCTGTGGTCTTACCGGACTTGCAAGCTAATAAACCGGCCAATTACTGTTTCTTGGGTGCTGGAAGAAGGTATGAAACTTGGATCAGAGACAAAATATTTTTTGAATAACCACAGGCAGCATGGGTATGGTATTGGTGTCGATTCCACACATCTTCTAAGTCTCCTGAAGATGACATATGTGGGCCTAGGGGATTCCTGAACATGCAGTGGGTTGTATTCCAGGAAGGGAATACCATGAGGAGAAGAGGAACCCTCCTCTTTATGGCAGCCTGTAAGAAAACCTGCTTTTTTTTTGGAGAGAGAGGTTACCTTGTCCTGCAAGCTTTTTCACCACAGACATAGCCTTGAGAATTGGCCCAGATAAAAAGCAGTCAGTGCCTTGCACTTCTGGGGTACCCAGGAAGAATATACAGGGCCCATGGCAAATTGCTTCTCCCAGCACTGTATACTTTAGGCAGACTCCCTATTCTCTCAAGTACTAGCAATGATAAGATTGCATACTAGTCCTTTGCTTCCAAGGTGCTGTCTTTTTGACAGTTTTTCACATTGGGTGGCACTATCCTTCTTATAATCCTTTAAAAAAATATATTTTGTCTAGGTTTTCACTTTAAATAATTTTTAAAAAATATGTATCAAGGGCTTCAAATATACAAAATGCAGTGATCTATATGACAGTGAACTAAGTAATTAGATCATGAATATTACAAGCATTTTAAATGAGAGGGGAAACTGAAACCCAGAGAAAAATCATGTAAAGAAGTGATCCTTAATCTTTTTTCAGTCAAGAATATCTCCCTCCAGAAAATACGTAGATGAAAATTGATAATTTTGTCTACAGCTTCAGGGGTGCCTAGTCCCCCCTGAAGCCCATCTAAAATAAAATTCCTGAGGCTTAATAGTTAGCAAATGTCCAAAGGGTATTTAAACAAACATCTTAATTTGGAATTTCCTTTTCTTTCTTCTTCTTCTTCTTCTTTTTTTTTTTTTTTTTTATGACACAGAGATGGTCATCCAGTGGTTCCAAGTTCTAAGAGGTCTGCTGTTTCAACTCCACAGTCAATCAAAGCCAATGGTAAGGATACATTCATTTTATGATGCAAGTAGTTATGCAGAGATAAACATTTTTCCTCTATTTCCTATCAGTAAACTAAGAATATCAGTGGTATCTATCTTATAAGTTTATAATGAAGCATAAATACAATAATAATATGTGAAAAGCTTATCATAATGATTGTCACATAATAATTTATTCAGACAGTTATTGAATCTCTTCATTGTACCAGGCATTGGTCTGGACATTGTAAGTATGGCAATGAATATACAAAGTATCTGCCTTACATTTTAGCATAATAATAGAAATTGTAGTGTTAGTAATTGTGGCAGTCTCTAACATAAATTTAATGCTTATCCTGGACTAAGCTTCTTTTAATTGCTTTAGTCCTCACAACAACCCTGTGAGAATAGTGTTACTATAATCCTCCATTTAGAAGGGGAAACTGACACAGAGAAGTTTGACAACTCACCAAAGCTCACAAGAGTTCATAAATGCTAGAGCCAGAATTTAAACCTGGGGTGACTGATTCCATGCTCTCATTTACATAATTGGGCTCAAAAAAAATACATAATTGGGCTCAGTAAACATAGCTTTTATATGCTAGTGTTACATCAAAAATTAATGATGTACTGTATGGCGACTAACATAACATAAAAAAAATAAATGCTAGTGTTAATATAATAAGAATGATAGACACAGGGGAATGTGGTTGAAATTAATGTATTTGAAATGTGAATTCAGTACTTCATACATAACTAAACTTTTAGGTTATCAGGCAGTAGTATTTAAATACCAAAGGAATCTCACTACTGCAGTTGTGATTTATCTACTAAATTCTAAAGCAGATCTCTTCCCCTCCTCCTCTGTGATCTTGAATGCCTTATGGATCCTGGCTGCTCTCTAATAGTTCCAGTTCATATTAGAGTCGGACTGTCTCACAGAATAGTCAGGAGAGCATTTTTCTAGTAACTTCTGAGTCGTCTGTAACTTTCAGAGCTAAAGAGAATTGTGCCCTGCCCCCCCTTGTAGAAACTGCCTAGTGATCTGTCTTTACGGGGTTCTCTGACTGGACTCCCACAGAACTGATTTCTTTATGAGTTCTGAAAATCATATAGTTATCAGTATTAGGAACTCTCTTATAGTGATGGGATTATAAAATGCCATAGCCATTTTATAAAACAGACAATTTCTGAAAAATTTAAACATGGGACTCCCATATGATCCATCCATTCCACTCCTGTTTACTCAAGAGAAAAGAAAGCATATATCCATACACAAAAAGCATATATCCATACAGCTTCCTTTGTAAAAGTCAAAATCACAAACCACTCAAATGTCCAAAAACGAATGAATAAACCAAGATGTCCAAACAGCAGACTACTACTTAGTAATAAAAACGGTCTGTTGAGACATATAGCAACATAATCAAAATAACTTCAAAATAAAACCTTGGAGTGAAAGAAGCCAGACAGAAGAGAGTTTATACTGTATTATTCCATTTACTCAAAATTATAGAAAATGTGAATTATAGTGACAGAAAGCAGATTAGTGGTTGCTTGGAGACAGAGAAGATGAGGGGCAGTTAGGGGAACAGGAGGGAGAGATAACAAATAATAAACTATTATGTTTTGTACTATTCCAAGATGATTTTTTGAACCAGTAGTTTGTTATTAGTATGCTTTTTTCAGTATTTTTCCTGGAAGTTAAATAATGTATTATATCTCCTGGAAATGATATTAAAAGGCATTCTTGGCTCTTTGTAACATCATCCACAAAATTATAGAAATTCATCCCTACAAATTTCATGTCGACCTTCATCTTTCTAGATGGAAACCTTTTTAAGAATTATTTATTTAGGTACGCCTGAGTGACTCAGTCAGTTAAGTGTCTGCCTTCGGCTCAGGTCATGATCCCAGGGTCCTGGGATCGAGTCCCGCATGGGGCTCCTTGCTCAGCGGGGAGCCTGCTTCTTCCTTTGCCTGCCTTTCTCTCTCTCTGACAAATAAATAAACAAAATGTTTTAAAAAAAAAGATTTATTTATTTCAGAGAGTGTGTACACACACAAGTTGGGGGAGGGACAGAGGGAGAGATTCAAGCAGAGGCCCTGCTGAGCGCAGACCCCCACACTGAGCTCAGCCTCACCACCCATGAGATCATGAGCTGAGCCAGAATCACCAGTCGGCTGCTTAACTCACTGAGCCACCCAGGTGCCCTTCTGGGTGGAATTATTTTTAGGTCATTCTGTATTTTTCTTCTTTTCTATTTTTTTCCTCTTTAACTTTTCCAAACTCTACTGTATCTTTCAAAATCTTGTAAAAATATAATTTAATGAAGCAAATTATTTTTTAAATATGACTTTTTAATGGTAAGGGACATAATTTCATTTTAGTATATGTATTAAATCTTCGTACTGATGGCTAAGAGTTAAAATTAACATTTGGTTTAGACATATATTAAAAGTTCTATTTAGTTGTATCCATAACTTATTTTATTGTGTTAAATTGATAACCTTTATGAAATGATATACCTGGCTTGCTACCTTCCCTTAAATGGTAAGTAAATATAGGCCAGCACGTGTGATACCTCTCGCATTCAGTCAGGATAGTTTATACTCAGTGTCTCACACTAAAACCATTCAGCTCAAACTGAGCTCTCCCGCAAACTACAGTATTTTCTTTCAAGAAATTAGCTCTTTCCTTGGAATAAACCCTTTTGTAATATTTGATCCCATCTAGTTGGTTTTAAATCTCTCTGTAATATGACCTCTTCCGGTGTACTAATAAAAATAAGAAACATGCACAGAAATGTGGGTTTTCTTCCACTATTTTGATGCCCCTACTGTGGTTCCAGCTGGCTCTTCCCTGACTTCCTGTGTTGTCCCTTTCAGGTCATCACCCCGTGGAGCCTTGCCACAAGCCTGCCGTCACTCCTAGTAATTCGTTCTCCAAGGTAAGGAAAAGGCTGCCTTCATATCATACTTCCTTAGCTGAATAGCCAGCTTGTTTGTCTTGAACCAAACTGATTTCACATTTTAATATTTGCCTTTTTTAGATACATGTAGTGATAGTAGGAATCTATTTTAGTGAACTCATGGCCTTGCTAAGTAAAGCACACTGTGAACAGCCCCCACACAAGCAACCCTCCGTCATTTAGCACATATTTGGCTCTTATATAAGTAATTATTTGTATAGATAGCTTTAGTGCAATTTTTTTTTTTTTGTCATTGTGCACAGTTCTTTTGGTTGTGTCTTACATACCCAGAAGAGAACATACATAATTAAGAGTAGAATTGGTCCTTTGGGTTAGTGTTGAGCAGCAGTGCCTCTCAAATGACAGTTCTGTACTGCTAGTACAGATGGTGCTGACGAAAGGTAGAGGCTTATTTGCTTTTTAGAAGATAGGGAAAATGCTTTACCACAGAATCAAATGTAAGAACCTAAGTCATGTAAGATTAGCGCAGAAAAATCTGGAGGTGATTTAATGAAACTACTTTAATACATAACTAAATTCCACTTTGAGCTTTCCCTTTAAGGCCTTATGTATTCCCATTCATTTGGTTAGCATTTCTTTTTATGATTTTCTTCCGGCATGTAATGTACATTCTAAAATGACCCCAGCTGGATCTTCATTCTGTGGAATTGTTTAATCCCACACACATCCCATACAGTCTATTCAGAACCCCATTATTTGAAAGTCTTTCCATGTAAGATCCAGAGCTGAGGCATTGGTCTCCTAGGAATCTGAAAACCTATCATCTTAACAAGATTTCTGAATAAGAGCTGGATTTAGCATAGAAGGAAAATTTGGTGACGAGAAGGTCAAAATTCTATGTCTTTCAGCTCACTAGTCCAGCAAATCCTGAAAAAATACTGCACGAGAAGAATTATTAGGCAGAAATGATTGGGACACATAAATAATTGAGATACAACAACACCCACTATTCCCTGTTTATTCATAAAGTCTACAAGTACACACAGCTGGAACACCTGAATTTTCATGTATATCTAGTGTTAGTCATGCTGTATGGTGTTCATTTTCTTTTTAAATATCAGCGTGTTGTTGGAGAAGGAGAGGATTTCTGTTTAACTTAATATAAAACTCTTAGAAACTAGGATCTCTGTTACTCATGATTGCAAACATTTTTTTTGTTGGAGTTCAAATCTTTCAGGACGTCTTTCAAACAGTATTCTGTCCTTGATGCTAACGTCTGTACTATGAATTTCACATAAAGATTGGAGTTTCACAATCCAGTAAAACTTGACGTTATGTAACCACTAGTTATGAAGAAATAATTCTATCACATCTACCATTTTTACTTTTTGTCTTGATAAAAAGAATAAGATCTTCAGAGCAAACCACCTTTTATTTGTATATAATTATTTTAATTCTAATCATTTAATTTTGCATTTTTGCTCAAATCAGTTTTCTTTCAATAGGCTATGCACCATGAAGTGTTCACAATTTACCATTGAATTAGAAAGTTACATTCTAGTCAATATTAATTTATAGTTACGCACCCGTTGTGACTTTTCTCAAATTGAGGTGAGATTTAGCCTAGATTTGAAAATCTTTATACCCAGCAGTTGACTAGAATGCTAAACTAGAGTGTGTGTCCAAGTCACAGCTTCACAAATACTTTTAAAAGATGATTTTTTTCCCTTTCCCTCAACTTCTAAGTTTAGTGATCCTATAAAACTTCCCTAAAAAGTTTTATGAAAAATAAGTCCCATAACATATACCTCAAAAAAGGAATTTCTGCAGTCAAACAGATTTAAGAAATACTACATAATAGAGTTTTCTTTGGCAACTCAAAATTCATAATAGTAAACATTGTGAGAATTCTTGGAATAAAAATAATGACTTGATGTTATATAATCTGTTTCCAGAGGTTTTCGATGATAGAAAGTCCCATCCTCTTTGTACATTCCATTGTACTGATGTTTCCTAGAAACACTGATCTATTATGTGCAGATATAAAATGGATTTTGTACTAAGAAAGAGGGAGAGAAGGACATGGTGGGGAAATCTACAGTCCCTCCCTAATCTTGGAAGTTAGTAATATAGTAAATTAATGATTTGCTCTGGTTTCATACTTTAGGTTAATGGGGAAGAAATAATTGAAGTTTTATACCCTGAAGGAAAATGCTGTACTTATCAGATGAAGGGATCAGCAAACTTGATTCTCTCCAAAGGTAGTTTTCCAAATCAATCATCCCTAATGATTCAGGTAACAGAGATATTCTAAATGCCCTAATAATTCAGGTAACAGAGAAATGATATTGGGCTTACATGTTTCTATAGTGTAAAAAGGAAGCCTTGTTGTTCAAAGAAATAAAAGAACAATGTAAAATTAATTATTCTTAGCTGCATTACTGTATAAATGTCCTGTATTCATTCTCATCTCTAATGTTAAAAATATTTTTAAATGATAGAAAAGATGGCTGGTTTGTTGTTTTTTTTTTAAGATTTTATTTATTTATTTGACAGAGAGAGACAACAGAGAGAGAGGGAACACAAGCAGTGGGAGTGGGAGAGGGAGAAGCAGGCCTCCCGCCGAGCAGAGCAGGGAGCCCGATGCAGGGCTCGATCCCAGGACCCCAGGATCAATGACCTGAGCCAGAGGCAGACGCTTAACGACTGAGCCACCCAGGCACCCCAAGATGGCTATTTTTGTTTGATGGTGTTGCTTATATTCTTTGAAGCAGTAATTCACCTAATAAGTTAGAAAAGTTTCTTGAGGATGTTTGGGCTGCCTTATTATATCCTTAATCTTTTTAAATTTTATTTATTTTTTTAAGAGAGCATGTGTGCACAAGAGCACACATGGTGGGGGGGCATTGGGCAGAGGGAGAGAGAGAGAGAGAATCTTAAGCAGGCTCCACACCCAATGCACCATGCGATGTGGGGGCTCGATCGCATGACCCTGATATCCTGACGTGAGCCAAAAACCAAGAATTGGACTCTTAACCAACTAAGCCATCCAGGCACCCCAGTATACCCTTAATCTTTGTAACATAACTTCTTTGAGTTTCTTTCATGAGTTAATAATTTGGGATTAATTTAGGAAATAAGTTATTGATTCACAGACATAGATTTTGGTTTATTTAAGTTGTATTTGTATGGTCTTTTGTCATGGCAGCCAGAGTCATGTTGGGACTAGAAATGTCTAGGTTCAATGAGTGTAAATTGCTTTTCCAGTCCTGGCTGCTTTTCCAAAGGAAATGCTTAAAATTTGAAAGACCTGCTGTCTTTGATTTGACACAGTGTCTCTTCTTATATCAATATTTTTAAAATGAAATCTCACGTAAATTCCTGTTTTTCAAGAATCTAATGTACAAGAAGATGATATCTATGATGATCCTCAAGAAGCTGAAGTTATTCAGTCTCTGCTGGATGTTGTGGATGAGGAAGCCCAGAATCTTTTAAACCAAAATAATGCAGCAGGAGATGCCTGTATTCCAGGTAGATGAACCAGAGTGAATAAGCCGGTACACTAAGGAGTACAAGAAGGCCTCTGGGGAGCATTTTAATTCCTTTTGGCCCATTTATTTCTCTCCCAGGTTCATTGAAAACCAATGGGCAGTTATCTGAAGAGAGAGCAGAAGATACAGACTGTGATGGTTCACCATTACCTGAAGATTTTACAGAGGTAAGGATAATACCTAGATAAACACTCTAGGATGCTGTATATTGTTAGAATTACATATCTCCTTAAGCTTGCTTTCTCTGCTGAGGCTTTAACCTCTGCCTCCCCTGCCTCCACCATTTCCGATTTCCCAGCACTGCTCACCCCCTGCCCTGACCCTGGCATTCACAGGTTTGTATGTATTTCTCTGGTTCCCACAGGCATTTGAGTTTGTAACCTGTCCTAATGTGCTTGGACTGCCATTGTAAAATACCACCAGCTAGGTGGCTTAAAATACAAAAATTCATTTTCTCACAATTCTGGAGGCTGAAAGTCCCAAGATCAATATGCCAACAGGGCTGGTTTCTGATGAAACCGCTCTCCTTGGCTTGCAGATGGCCACCTTTCACTGTGTCCTCACGTGGCCATTCCTCTGTGTTCATGCACTCCTGGTGTCTCTTCCTTTTCTTATAAGGACACCAGTCCTGTTGGATTAGGGTCCCATCCTTATGACCTCATTTAGCTTTAATTACCTCCATAAAGACCCTGTCTCCAAACATTATCACATTGGGGGTTAGGGCTTCAACCTGTGAATTGGGGGATCACAATTCAGTCCATAACATAGTCTTTGCTTTAACCACTTATAAAATATAATTAAGTAAAATTTCATTCACAATAGTTAAAAACAAATAAAAGCTATAGGCATAAATTCAACCCAAAATGTGTAAGACCTATATTATGAAAACTTTAAAGCTCTACAAAGAAGCAAAAGAAATATTAAATATTTCTATTCTTTGATAGAAAAACCTAAAATTTAAATTCTCCCTAGATTTACCCATAAGTTAAATATGGTCCCATAAAATATTTCGACTTTTTTTTTTTTTTTAAATGAGAAACAGAGTGGTTTCCCAAAATGATTTCAAATTTCACTTGGAAGAAATTAGGATGTAAAACTGTCCAGTACAAATCTAAAAAAGAAGGTTCAGCGGCGCCTGGGTGGCTCAAGCAGTTAAGCATCAGCCTTTGGCTCAGGTCATAATCCCAGCTCCTGGAATTGAGCCTCATGTCAGGCTCCCTGCTCGGTGGGGAATCTGCTTCCCTCTCTCTCTCCTCCTCCCCACCACCCCCCCCACTCGTGCTCTCTCTCAAATAAAAGGTCTTTAATTAATTAATTAACATTCATATCATATAAGTTGTTCTACCACCAAAGTACAGATAGACCCCACAAACTTGCACCTTGAGAATTCAAGATGTTTAAGACCAAACATTTTGGGGCAGTCCATCCTTAAAATTGATAAATTGACACTTGAATATATGGGACTTCTGCTTCAGAAGAGGTGTTAACTAAGAGTAAACAAAGAAAGTAAAACATTTCAGGAAAGGAGGAAACAAAGTACTGAGATAAAAACATGAAGTTTCATTTGTATCAAACTCTAAATGTGTTAAAATCACTATGGAAATTACATTCATAAGCAGACAAATTCAAAGAAGACAAATGTGACTAATCTCCATAGCTAAAATGAAGATTAAGCCAGTATTCTGGAAGAGCTTTCTGTTTCATCTTATATTTCTAGAATATTGCCTGTATTTGAGTAATTTTAAGTTTCTTACAACTTCCTAAAATATTCAGTTTTTCATAAGTGCATCTCTGGGATCGCTATAAACAAATTGTAGATTATTTACTGAATTCGTTCTTAACATTGCATTCTACACCCCTGGAAGTTTTGTGGGGTTTTTTTTAACTTTTATTATTGAAATATAGTTGAAATACAATGTTGTATTGGTTTCAGTTATACAACATAGTGATTTGTTTTATAACAAAGTTTGTGCCTCTTAATCCCCTTGGCCTGTTTTGCCCATACTCTGCCCCCTCCCTGTCCCCTCTGGCAACCACCAGTTTATTCTCTGTATTTATGAGTCTGTTTCTGTTGTTTGTTCATTTATTTTTTAGATTCCACATCTCAGTGAAGTCATATGGTTATTTGTCTTTGTCTTATTTCATTTAGCATGATACCCTGTTGGTCCATCCATGTTGTCACAAATGGCAAGAACTCATTCTTTTTTATGGCTGAGTAATATTCCATTGTGTGTGTGTGTGTGTGTGTGTGTATGTGTATGTGTGTGTATGTGTGTATTCCATCTTTTTTATTCATCTGTTGATGGACCCTTGGGTTGCTTCCGTATCATGGCTATTGAAAATATGCTGCAATAGGGGCACTGTCGGGCTCAGATGGTAGAGCATGCAACGCTCGATCTCAGGGTTGTGAGTTCAAGCCTGTGTTGTGTGTAAAGATTACTAAAAAGAAAAAAAAATGCTGCAGTAAACATAGGGGGTACTTCTTTTTCAGATTCATGTTTTCATTTTCTTTACGTAAATACCCGGTAGTGGATTACTGGATTATATGTACAACCCTGAAAGTCTCAGGGTTTTAACCCTGTGGGCCAAAAGTTAAGCTACTAATCATGGTATTATAAAGAGTGTAGTATAGTACACACTCATTTGTCATTCTACTGTAATTTGTCACTCTACACTTGACTACCTCTTAATGAAATACTTAAGGCCATTGTCTGAGTCTTATTTATGAATGCCAGTCATATACATAGTGTAAATCATCATCTAATCTTTCAACTCTGTTCATTTAGCTATTACTGAACTTGTTTAAGTAAGGGGAACTTGATTAAGCTGGGGATAACAGGGTAAGAAGGTATGTCAGGGTTTTTGTCCTAAATTTGCTTGTATGGTCTAGTAGTCAATTTGGGACTTTTACACATGTAAATAAGTAAGTGTAATTTTTAAAATTATAGTAAAAACATGTCCTGATAAATGTTTATATGGAATTCAGAGAGTGTCTTAAAGAACTAGGGAATAATAGGGAACATACAGGAGTAGATGTTTATGTTATTAAAGGTTCCTAGAGAATTAGCCTTTTAAAGGTGTTTGATAGGTGAGTTGCTATGGGAAAGAGCATTCCATACTGAGGAGTTGCTTAGCAAAGACATGAAGGTTTGGATCAGCCTGGGACTTCCATGGCAGTAAATCATTGCAGGTAAGGTGTCACATGTTGTCTTGAAAGCTAGGACTGAAGAGATAGGCAAGGGTAAGTTCAGCAAGCAACTTAGATGCTGTGCCAAGAGATTTGATCTTTCTACATCTTGGGGCAGGCAACTTTCCTGGGAGAGGTAGGAACACTTCTCCATGAGGTCAGAAGAGCTAGGATGAAAAGAAGAAAGACGTGTCCTGCAAAGACATGGCATCATTTTGCTGAAATACATTTGTGTGATTCCTATGTTATTTCTAATCCTGGTTATTCTTAAGAAGTTTTTAAATTTGTAGCCAAAGAGTACAAAACTTTCAGTGGCTTTCCATCACCTATACGATAATCATGCTTGACTCTGGGATCCTGGCTTTATGGGAGCTCAACCAATGGAATCACACAGCCCTGTGCTTATAAGAAGTCCTCTCTTATTTGTAAAATAATGCTGTGTCATCACCATCTTGAAATTCTTAGTAATTTTTTAACAAGAGATCCCATATTTTCATTTGACACTGGGCACTACAGATGATATAGTTGGTCTTGGATCCAGGAGATATTTCTAGTTTTCAGGTTGCTGGATCTGGATTCTTTGAGCAGTAGGATAACAAACTAACCTTCAGATGGGCTAGCCATGATAAAAATCTTAAATCTTTTCACTGAGGCCAAGTGCTAAAGCTACTTCCTGTTCCAAAGAGCCTACAATCCAGAATGAGAAGAGAGACTGAAAGCCAATCTCCTTAACCCAATCCTCCCTCATATACAGGTGAACTTTGCAAAAATAGTGAGAAATTGTTATCACTGTCATTGGTATCATACAGTCTAATGGGGAGGGCAAGAGAATGATCAAGTAAACACCCAAATAAACAAGCAGTTACAAGTTGTGATAAGGTCTATGAAGTTTAAAAAGAAAAAAAGTGCTACAAAAGAGAATAACCAAGGAGACCTACTTCAGACTGTGTGGTTAGGGAACATCCTTAGAAGGAAAGGACACATTGAATGAAGAAAAAGTACCTTCCATGGGAAGAGCTTTGTGGTGAAAAAAGGTGAGCTATTCTGAAGAACTAAAAGAAAGACTGTGGATTTGAAGCCACAGGTAAGTGGAGAGTAAAACCAGATGGATTATAGAGGTAGACAACCTAGGTAATTCGGGGTCTTGAAATGAAAGGAATTTCCCATTTGTTAAGATAATTTGTCCTAATAAAGATTGAAATGTAAGATTTATTAACCATGTTAGAATGAAACTTGGCATCTTCTTCTAATTGTAGCAAACTGCTCCTGCAGTATTTGGGTCTCTGAGACACCATCTCCCATTACAGTATGAGTTGATTGATCTATGTTCTCCATGGAGAGACTCCTCACTTTAGTAATAAAAGGGAGGGGCGCCTGGGTGGCTCAGTCGTTAAGCATCTGCCTTCAGCTCAGGTCATGATCCCAGGGTCCTGGGATCGAGCCCCGCATCGGGCTCCCTGCTCCGTGGGAAACCTGCTTCTCCCCCTCCCACTCCCCCTGCTTGTGTTCCCTCTCTCACTGTGTCTCTGTCGAAAAAATAAATAAAATCTTTCAAAAAATAATAATAAAAGTAAAAGATAATTCTAACGCATTGAAAATTACTAGGATATTTCTGGAGAGCCCATTTTCAGATTTTAAAATTAAGTATTGTAGGGCTCCTGGGTCATGATCTCCAGGTCCTGGGATCAAAATCTGCATTGGGCTCCCTGCTTATCAGGGAGTCTGATTCTCTCTTTCTCTCTTTATCTCTCTCCTCCCTCTTCCCCTCCCCACGACTCATTCTCTCTCTCAAATAAAAAAATAAAATCTTTAAAAAAAAACTGAAGTAGTGTAAAAGCATATACCAAATATGCATATCTAAATAATCATAATTTAGCTTTTCATCTTGCTTTTTCCTTACCTCTATACTATTAATATCCCTTACATAAGAAATGAAAAGCCAAGATGAGTGTGAAGGTGATTAAGTGGAACCAGCAAAACATCTTGGGTCACTGAAGATGCCTTAGCCACAGTTTGACATTAATTGAATGTCCTATGTGTCTTTGTTACAGGAGGATGGACATAACAGTAAATATAGGAAATAATTAACAGGAAAAAAATTGAACATTATGAGATAGATTTTTTTTTAACAATGGGCTAATGTGATTTTTATTTCTCTTTATTTTAGTCTGTCAAAATGAATGGCTGTGAAGAATATTGTGAAGAAAAAGTAAAAAGTGAAAGGTAAGAAAATAATCTTTTAAAGTATAACAGTTCCATTCTTTTTAGAAATGCTCTGAAGATTTTCATTTAGATGTTGCTTTTGAAATTAATTTATTCTTTTCCAATAAAAAGAGAATATTTGACTAAATTATGGACCTATGGTTGAATATTAAGGGAGGTTTTAGTGACGTGTGACAATGTGTTTGTTAAAAGAAGTTTATCCTTGACCATGGGAAAAATGAAAGAAAGGTCTAAAAGGGAATGTGCCAACAATGATGATAGTGATTATCTCCTAGTAAGGTTAAAATAAAACCAAAGAAGATAAGAAACATTTTAAAACCCCACAGTTTTGTTTCTTTTTGAAAACAGTTTCTAATACAAAATAGGATTTTTCCTGATACATTGTTTAATGTTTTAAAAAGTTATATATGTAAGTTGGCCAACAAAGTGATTGTACATAAATAAATTTTGCTCCATATCAGATGATAACCTAACAATCAAAGGGAGCTACTTGCATTTTCCTAGAAAAGCAAATTGACAGTGAATTTTGCACTAACTAAAATTAGACAAGGGAGTACATATTATTAATGTAGAAATGCATACAATTTAAATTTAAAAGATTAGCAAATATCTGGGCCAGCTGCCATGAATTGTAAAGATACAGGCTCTACTCTGTTAGGCAGGGGAAGGGGAGGAAGGAGGAAGGGTAGATTAGTATATGTAATTTATTTGCGTGGCAGTTAGAAACACTATTAACATATAAATTTTATCTGCATGTTACTAATTCTTGGATACACTTTTTAATTTTAAGATCTCTGAAATCATATACAATCATCAATATTATTTCTTAATGTAAACAAAACAATAGTGTATCTTACAATGATGGGTATCATAGATTCAAAGAACTGTAGCACATAACCTTCAGTCTAGTAATTTTATTTCTAAGAATTGCTCCCATTACCACGTGTGCAAAGACATTTCTACAAAAATTTAATTGCAACATCATTTATATTTCTAAAAAAACATAATATACACAGAATAAATTAGGGTATACTCACACAAGCACCCATGAAATACTAATGCAGCTAATCAAAAGAATGAGAAAGAAGGGAATGCCTGATGGATCTCCAAACTATATCCTTGCAGACAAAATATACTTACTAGATGACAAAAGCAACCTCATAGGTGCAGAGCTTGCAAATTAAGTGTTAATTGTAACCCACAATTAGCTGGAGTAGAGGAAAACATCCACCATAAAAGCATAATTGCCACCCTGTTATTGATGTTTCTGAATATCAGAAAATGAAGAAATGTGTTCAGCCTTTTACATTATCCTTTTCCCCTCATTACCAAATATTTCTCCTGCCTAGATTCTCTTCCCTAGCCATCCACCTTACCAGGGAGATGGCATCTACTTTGTACCCTAGAATAATGAGAACTTGTACTGTGCTTTATTACATTAAGTGAGTGCGCTGATACAGAAGTGTCTTTCTAGCCCCCAACTGTAGCAAAAATTAGATGTCCATCAATAGAGACTTCTATAAATAATTAAGATACATCCATTTAGTACAATAGTGGGTAGCTATTAAAAAGACAAGAGAGGGTCACCTGGGTAGCTCAGTCAGTTAAGCATCCAACTCTTAATTTCAGCACAGGGCTTGATCTTAGGGTCATAAGTATAAGCCCCACGTTGGGCTTCATGCTGGGCATTGAGCCTACTTAAAAAAAAAAAAAAAAAAGACAAGAGTTACACTCACACAATTATAATGGGTTATCCACATTGAGGGGCAGAAACAAAGCACCACTTTCTCTATCCCCAAGGGGACTCCTTCAATCTAAGGTTCAAAGACAGGACTTGTTTGAGGATAAATTTTAGACTGTACTAAACAATTCTGTATTTCAGTTTAATTTCCATCTACCAATGAATTTTAGGAATTGTGGACTTGGATTTTTTAAATCAGATGTTCTATTTTTAAGTATCGTGATAATTGTAGAGGAAACAAGGGTTCAAGGACATAATATTTAAATTTATTTCAGGGACAAAACTGAAGAAAATATTACCACTGTGTTTTATTGTCATAGCTTGATTCAAAAGTCACAAGAAACGAAGCCTGACGATGATGATGAGATAACATTGGGAAGTGATGAATTGCCAATAGAAACAACAAACCATGAAGATTCTGATAAAGGCAAGAATTTTATGAGCAATTCTTTTGTCAAAAGTAATAGATTAAAAAAATAAGCCTTTGAAAATTACAGTTTTCAGACTATATGGATGTGTTATTTCACTGTGTACATTATTTGGTTCCATACATAAAGTAAAATCACATAGACAAACAGCAACATTCAGTTATATAACTAGATATTTGCACAGGTGTAGGCTAAAATTCTCAGTGGCTTAAAGTAAAACACACAAATAAATGTGTAAATACTTTAATTAGAAACACAAAGTCAGGGGTTCCTGGGTGGCTCAGATGGTTAAACGTCTGCCTTCGGCTCAGGTCATGATCCCAGGGTCTGGGATGAGCCCCACATCGGGCTCCCTGCTCGGTGGGAAGCCTGCTTCTCCCTCTCCCACTCCCCCTGCTTGTGTTCCCTCTCTCGCTGTGTCTCTCTCTGTCAAATAAGTAAATAAAATCTTTAAAAAAAAAAAAAAACAAAGTCACAATTTTGTCAAACTGGAAAGAGTCGAAGAATGCATTTTATTTATAATAAAATAGGTAGAATAGCTCAAAGATAGGAAATTATTACCCTTGCATCTCAACCTCATTTTTTAAAAACAGGAGTTAATTGCTCTGTCCTATTAACTGCTTCTTTCATTTTATAACTGAGCCAGTGGAGAAATGAGGCTCCATCCAGTGTATCATTTCTCTTTTTTTTATAAAGGCAGTGTTATACTAATGCAATGAAAGACATGGTTTTGTAATCTGAAGTCTTAGCTGTTAAAGGAAATTAACGAAGTTGAATTAACACTTTTTCGATTTAGGTAAATTGTTGGTGTCAGTGATGGTGCTCTTGTCAAATCCTGTAGCCCATGCTCATCTCCAGCCTTTGAGATCCTGTTGCCTTTACACTAAGCTCTGTAAAAGTTTAATTCTGTATTTACAAATAGCCTTCACCCCACCGGATGTTTAGCTTCTTGAAGTATCTTGTACAGCTTTGTATACCCCACAAAGCCTAGCATTATTGTTGCCTACATAGTAGTTGCATCATCAGAAAGCTTTAATCAACTAATTTAGCTGCAAAACTATAGCAAGAACTCTCTCCTACTTTTTTCCAGGATAATAGTTGCCTTCTGGTGTAAGCTGTTTCCATAGAGCAGGTACTAAATTAGATACATATCTCTTCTAAGACACTGATATCACTTGTTTGATAAGCTCCTGGAGACCCCAAAGTTTTCATTTGTATTGAGAAAACTTCAAATGCCCAAGACACTGGCACTGATTATCGAGCGGGGTAGAGAGAGGAGGCATCAGCATTTCTAGTGCAATGTCCCATTGTAAGGAATTTCTGAAGCATCTCCCTTCATCTTTTCCCCAATGTGCTTGGAAGCTAATTTAAGTGCAAAGCATTAACGGGACTACATACATTTTCATCAAGAAAATAGTGTCATTTGAGTTAAGAGAAGGAAAAAAAAATTAAACTCTTCTAGAAATTGTAAATACATGAGAGCCAAGAGCCTTAAGAATTTCTAAACAGTGAGGTGTTTCCTTAAAAGTTGGGTACAAGGGCCTTGCTCTGCCCAAGATTTTATGTTGATTGTAGGTATCTGCCTACCTGTTCTCCTGCCATATTAATTCTAAAGACTCTGCTTTTGTAAAAAAAGATGAGATGAGAATAGGCTCAAGTCAGTTCCCTTATTGGCTAAGTCAGTTTTGGGGGAAATTTTTTTTAAAAAATCAACTGCTGTCAGTGTGCCTGGGTGGCTCAGTAGGTTAAGTGTCTGCCTTCAGTTCAGGTCATGATCTCAGAGTCCTGGGATTGAGCCCCACATCGGGTTCCCTGCTCAGCAGGGAGCCTGCTTCTCCCACTCCCTCTGCCTCTTCCCTACCCTGTCCCTACCCCACCCTTGTGTTTTCTCTCTAAGTAAATAAAGAAATAAAATCTTTAAAAAAAAAAAATCAACTTCTGTCTTCTTGTTAGATCATCCCTTTCTGACAAATGAGGAGCTTGCTTCACTCCCCATCGTTAAAGTGCTTCCCTCTGGTAAATACACTGGCACCAAGTTGAAATCAGTCATTCGAACATTGCGAGGTTTATTAGATCAAGGAATTCCTTCTAAGGAGCTGGAGGTAAGTGGCTTCTACCAGTGATTCCTTCCCAAAGTTTTATGCAAAGTTAGGAGAAATTTTGAAAATTTCCATTACTTTATAACTTTACTTCCAGCTAAAAGCACCATCTTGTCCTAGCCAGCAAGAAATTAATTTTTCCAATTAGGATCCTAATAGTATTGATTTAAAGAGATCTCTTTAGCCACTTTGGAGCTTGACAAATCTCCCCAAAGATTACCTTCCCTGCCTCACAGTAGAGATAGAGAAGTTTTTTTTTTTTTTAAGTCAAGTGTCAATTCCAACCATCCACTAAACTTTATAATTAATACACAGTAGATGTGGTTCATTAGCAACAGTTTCTAATTTAATACAGCTCCAGAAATATGCCCCTTGGTTCAATGCAGCAATGGTTCAGAGCCCTTGCTCATGTGGTCTTGCTGGCAACGTCCATATTTACCACTAGGCAAAAGAGGAATGTACTACCATTGTGGTTTTGGGGTTTACCTTGTTCATCTCCCTCAAACCATATGCTTACTTTGCCCACTTCCTGAGCTTTTCATAGCCACTGAAGTGAAAGGAGCTAACTTCTCTTGAGAGCTTCTGAAATGTGCTAGATGCTTCGTATTTAATACTCAGAATAATGTAAATCACATTAATAGTTTGGAAACAAGTTCACAGTAGTTGAGGTATACTCTTACTCTCCATTTTACAGCAATGATTTCTTCTTTAAGGCTTAAGTTTAAATGTCACCATTCCAAAGACCTGCCATAACAACCCTTTATAAAGTAGATCTTTATTATTCTCTAACATAACAGCTTGCTAATTTCTTCAAAGCATATATCACAGTATTTGTTTATGTCTTTACTGCCTCTTTCTCCCAATAGTCTGTAAGCTCGAGAACCAGAATCATACCTTCTTCCTTACCACTGTATTCCCAGCACTTATTACAGTGTCCTGCATCTAGTAGGCATTTTCAGTATACATTTGCATGGATGGATGGATAAAGAGATAAATGTGTGGATTAATGAGTGAATGAAAAGTGAGGGTTGACTTTAAAAACCTAGGACTGTCTAACCACAACTCAACCACATGGGTTATCCTATGACCCCACAGATAATATTGTCAAGAAGTTCTGCTCCAGCTCATTACTTTAAGCCAAAGTTGCTTTTATATGTTGTTTTTTCTTCCTAAAATATAATTATAGACCTCTTTAAACTGAAATTTAAAATTAAGGTACAAAGTACAGCCTCGCAAATTTAGTTGACTACATGTTAAAGGTATTTGCAGCGATATATTTCGGCAACTGGTATATCAGATTAGTACTAGGATTTTAGACTTGCTTATCTTGACAGGACATACCTATTTCTTAACACTCCAAGTCTGCCCTGATCAGTAACGAATTTTACACCCTGCATATTTAAAGCATTTGCAATTATTGCTGAATTACTGCTTATCTCAACAAATTTAACTTTATTTCCATTTTTCCTTGCAGAATCTTCAAGAATTAAAACCTTTGGATCAATGTCTAATTGGACAAACTAAGGAAAATAGAAGAAAGAACCGATATAAAAATATACTTCCCTGTAAGTTTAATCTGACTTCAAATCAAATATGTCTAAAAAATTTGAACTGATTTAAAACTTTTATGCTAGTTCACCCTCTCTCTCACACAAGTGTACACGCACACACACAAACACATATTTAGAGATTAACATCAGTAACAAATCTAGATATACAATGTGAATTCCTTTTTAAATTACGTATGTATTCTGAAAATCAATCAGAAGAATCTTAACTCTTTATTCAGACATTCATGAATTTTTGCAGCATAGTATTAGAAATTAATCAGTGATGCCAAATCAGTAGTTTTATTCTTTACAAAGATTTATTTATTTATTTGAGAGAGAGAGCATGCACATGCATGGGGGAGGGAAGGGACAGGGAGAGGGAGAGTGCGGACCCCGAGCTCCATCTCACGACCCTGAGATCATGACCTGAGCCAAAATCAAGAGTCCAGTGCTTAACCAACTGAGCCACCCAGGTGTCCCAAATCAGTTAATTTTAAGGTCTTCTTAAAAATATGAATCAGCTTCTACAGGAGAGGGTGCCTGGTTGGCTAGACCAGTTGGTAGACCATGTGACTCTTGATCTCAGGGTCATGAGTTCAAGCCCTACACTGGGTATGGAGCCTACTTTAAAAAATATAAAATTAAATAAATAAAAGTATGAATTCACTTCTGGGATGAGCAGTTTCTTAGTTCATGTGTCACACCAACATCTATTTATTCCACTCATTTTAACTTGAGAGAAATTTATGATACATTATATGTGCATGTGGCTGCAGTGGTATCAACAGGGGTGCTACCAGGTTGCATTATAGTTTGAATTGTTTCAGATACTAGGAAGAAAAAAGGGAATTCTTTTTACCCACATTTTACTAATTTCACCAATCAACATGTGACTTTTTTTAAATATATATGGGTATAGGCAAAATATTAATGTCTAGCAACTTCTTTTTTTTTTTTTTTAGCAACTTCTTATAGTAATCAGCCACATTTATATATTAGCACATTGGATTCCACCGTGTATGATACAATGATCCTATCTTTGCCAGGAGTCATAAATTCAAAGATCTGTAACAGAACCAATAGTGACAAATGATGCAATAACTAACAGTACGACTGAATTTTTTCAACCAAGTTGGAAGACGCAAAATTTATTTTAGAAAACTTCCTGTGAAAAATGAATCTTAGCATTTTAAAAATGAAATTGATAAGGGTTCAGCGTAAAGTAGGTAGGAATTATTTCAGCTCCCCCTCCCCCCGAAAATGGCCAGACTAGTATCTCAAAGTCAAATGGGATAAGCCATAAATCCAGAACTACTGAGTGGATTTGTTTCCATGGACTAAGAGATAGAAGTCAAGTAATTGAAGGGCAATTGATGGAGGATTTTGAAAGCTATTACTGAATTCATAATTTGATGATAATAGAAATTACCAGTTAAATTCATAAATGTTTTAAATAGAAATGACTTTCTGGGGCGCCCGGACGGCTCAGTCGTTAAGCGTCTGACTTTGGCTCAGGTCATGATCCCAGGGTCCTGGGATCGAGCCCCGCATTGGGCTCCCTGCTCAGCGGGAAGCCTGCTTCTCCCTCTCCCACTCCCCCTGCTTGTGTCCCCTCTCTTGCTGTGTCCCTCTCTGTCAAATAAATAAATAAAATCTTAAATAAATAAAATGCTTTTTAAAAAAATTAAAAATAAATAGAAATGACTTTTGATATAAAGTACTTACAAATTAATTCTCTTGGATAAGATGGCTTACATATACTTTTCACTGGTTTGAAACTTCTTTTTTGACTATGATATTACAATCAGACAGAGACAGGGGCCTATATGCCTAGAGAATAAAGCAAGCTACCTTTTTATTTATTGTGTTCATTATTTTGGCTGCTAATTTACAAGAATATAATTTAATTAGATGAGCAAGAGGTAATTATGCCTATTGTATTTGTAATAAGTATTTTAATAGTTGCATTATAATACTAATTTTTTTATTAAATAATCTGTCAGCATTGTCATTCATTAAATTCATCATTACTGTCATCATTAAAATAAGGATGGATAAGAAGTAGCTAAGTTATGTTTCTCTAGTAAGTTATTAAGAAGTTCTAAATGTATTGATTGATTTATTTTAATTTTTCAACCAAATCTCTGTAAATAATATCAAATTGTCAGAAACTCACAGAGTTGACATCTTAGATATACTTGTAACAAGAGCAAAATGAGTAAATATAAAATGATTTGACTGTAATTTGAAAATATGCCTTTATTAAAAAGTTTGTGATTTCTTTTATGGTTCTGAGGAACTTCTCGTAATCTTTGACTCCTCCTGTTTATAAGGCTCTTGTTTAAAAATGCATGATATAGATGGCTCTGTTTTGTGGTGGGAAATTCACAGATGATGCTACAAGAGTGCCTCTTGGAGATCAAGGTGGCTATATCAACGCCAGCTTCATTAAGATACCCGTGGGAAAAGAAGAGTTCGTTTACATTGCCTGCCAAGGACCTCTCCCTACAACTGTTGGAGATTTCTGGCAGATGATTTGGGAACAAAAATCCACAGTGATAGCCATGATGACCCAAGAAGTAGAAGGGGAAAAAATCAAATGCCAGCGCTATTGGCCTAACGTCCTAGGCCAAACAACAATGGTCAGTGACAGGCTTCGGCTGGCTCTCGTGAGAATGCAGCAGCTGAAGGGCTTTGTAGTAAGGGCAATGGCCCTAGAAGAGATTCAGGTAAGTGAGTTAAATCTTTCCATCTCCTAAGGCTCATCTCCTGGTTGGAATGCAGGCCTGGGCACTTTCCACGATAGCATCCATGTATTTCTAAATGAAAGCAACTTCGGGCTTCCCATTTCAGTGGAACTGAGGTCACCCATTATTTTTTATCTAATAGAAACTTAAATGTGATCTTCCAAACTGCCAGTTTCCTCTAGTATGTACTGTATTAGGTTGAAAATGAGAATACAGGCCTTTAAGGTGACCATTCATCATCCTTTGCTTAGTGATAGAACAGAATGGCTCAGAAGCTATGTGCTAGAAAATGTACTTTTTTTCCTAAGGTCAAACCTCTAAGAAGAGTGAATAAAACTATTTTTTAAAAATCTCTAAGTAGCAAATATTCCCCCATAAACACAACATATTAGATAAGTGGATATACCTTAAGTAAAACTGCTACTTTTCCTCACCTTCACACCCCCTCAATTTCACCCTCCTCCCCCACCCCCACCTGCTTAAGTGTAAGTATGGTTGACCCTTAAACAATACAGGGGTTAGGGGCACTGACTCCCATGCAGTCCAAAATCCACATAAAACTTTTGACTCTCCAAAAACTTAATTACTTAATAGCTTACTGTTGACCAGAAGTCTTACCGATATCATAAACAGTTAACACATATTTTATATATTATATGTATTATAGACTGATTCTTACAAGAAAGTAAGCTAGAGAAAAGAAAATGTTAATTAAGAAAATCATAAGGAAGAGAAAATATTTACACTACTGTACTATAAAAAAATCCATGTATAAGTGGACCCATACAGTTCAAACCCATGTTGTTCGACGGTCAACTGTAATGGGTTTCCTGTTGGACTTTGACTTGATTCTGTTGGTCGAATGTAAATGTAGCCCAAGATTTCCTTCATAGTTTTTGATGTGATTTTATAAAGAATTAAAGAATATACCTTATTCATTCACACCAGCATACCATTACTTATGCTAACACAGCTGTTCAGTATTCCTTAAATGATTCGTTTAATTAATACATGGTTTGTAGAGCTCGGGCCCTGTTACGGAATCTAGGGATTCGGCAGTTAGCAAGACAGACAAAAAGAAATCCCTGACCTCATGGAGTTTAGTTGTTAATGAGGAAATACCAGTGTTGATGGTGCTGTGGAAAAAACCCTAAAGGAGTTGATTGAGCCACAGGGATGAGGGGGCGGAAGGGATTTCAGTCAGAAAGAACAAGTGCAAAGGCCCTGGCTTGAACTGTGTCTCGTTTTTAAAGAACCACAGAGAGGTCCCTGTGGCTGGAGCAGAGCGGCCGGGAGGAGGAGGTCAAGGAGGAGGTCAAGTCTGAGAAGTAGCTGGGTCAAATTACGCAGGGCTTGTAAGGCATTGCAATGACTTTGGCTTTTATCTAGAGTGAGTTTGAAGTGGAGTCATTTAGAAAAGGTTGTTATTCATATCAATGTAATCTACTTTTAGGGTTTCAAAAAGTAGCTTTTACCAGTGTTTAAAATGTAGATTTAGCAACCTCCTTGATAAAGACCCTCCATGTGTTCTTTGATGGAGTCTTTTTGTCTCTTGCACCTGTCCTTTGATCCAATGGGCAAGTCAAAGTTTGAAAGGACAGTATATTATTAAAAACTAAAACATATGTGTGAAAATATAGTATTTATTTCTTCTATTGTACAATTTCAGACAGGAGAGATACGACATATTTCTCATCTGAATTTCACTGCCTGGCCAGACCACGATACACCTTCTCAGCCAGATGACTTGCTCACTTTTATCTCTTACATGAGACACATTCATAGATCTGGCCCAATCATCACCCACTGCAGCGCTGGCATTGGACGTTCAGGGACCCTGATATGCATAGATGTGGTCTTAGGATTAATCAGTCAAGATCTTGAAGTGAGTACAAGATATAGGCTGAACTAGCATTTGATCAGAATTAACAGTGGAATCTAACTTTTAATAATGTCTTATGATCTTGGAATTTTTTTATTTAGCAGGGGTTTTGTTGGGGGGGGTACTTAAGATTTTTTTTAAGTAATCTCTGCACCCGATATGGGGCTCAAACTCATAACCCCAAGATCAAGAGTCACATACTCCACCAACTGAGGCAGCCAGACACCCCTATTTAGTAGCTTTTATGAATGCCTTAATTTTCTTACTATATCAGATCGTATTTTAAGGGCGCCTGGGTGGCTCAATCAGTTCAGTGTTTGCCTTTGGCTCAGGTCATGATTCCCGGGTCCTGGAATCAAGTCCGACATTGGGCTCCCTGCTTAGTGGGGAGTCGGCTTCTTCCTCTCCCTCTGCCCCTCCCCCCCTACTTGTGCGTTCTCTCTCTAAATAAAATCTTTTTTTTTTTTTTTTAAGATTTTTATTTATTTATTTGACAGAGACACAGTGAGAGAGGGAACACAAGCAGGGGGAGTGGGAGAGGGAGAAGCAGGCTTCCCGCTGAGCAGGGAGCCCGATGTGGGGCTCGATCCCAGGACCCTGGGATCATGACCTAAGCCGAAGGCAGACGCTTAATGACTGAGCCACCCAGGTGCCCCAAATAGAATATTTTTTTTAATTGTATTTTAGTAAGTGTTCAAAACTACCCAGATCATCATCAAGAAGAAATAATACTTTTTTGTATTTATTTTACTGGTTCTAACCATGTGCTCAAAATCTCTTATGCAGTATTGCATTTTACTCTTTACAGGCTGTAGGCTTGTATAAGGTAAAGTCAGTGTCACTGTCACATTTAGGGATAGAAATATTGAAGCACTGGGACGCCTGGCCAGCTAAGTCAGTACAGCATGTAACTCTTGACCTTGGGGTTCTGAGTGCAAGCCTCACGTTAGGTGTAGAGCTTACTTTTAAAAAAAAATTTATATTGGGCGCCTGGGTGGCTCAGTCGTTAAGTGTCTGCCTTCAGCTCAGGTCATGATCCCAGGGTCCTGGGATCGAGCCCCGCATTGGGCTCCCTGCTCAGCGGGGGGCCTGCTTCTCCCTCTCCCACTCTCCCTGCTTGTGTTCCCTCTCTCGCTATCTCTCTCTCTGCCAAATAAATAAAATCTTTAAAAAAAAAAATTTATATATATTGGGGCACCTGGGTGGTTCAGTCGGTTAAGTGTCTGACTGTGGCTCAGGTCATGATTTCAGGGTCCTGGAATCTGGTCCTGAGGTGCACTCTTTGCTCAGCAGAGAGTCTGTTTGTCCCTCTCCCTCCCCCCACTTGTGTGCTCTTGAGCTCACTCTCTCTCGCATGAATAAATAAAAATCTTTAGAAATATATATATATATATACAGAAGCAAAAAAAAAGTATATTTATGAGATAAAAAGACATTCTTTTTTTGTTATTGTTTACTTATAAGTGGGAAGTGTATACTTTGTTATACAAATTGATGCTAGTCCGTAAACAATTACTCCCACTTTAGAAAATATTACTAAGTAAACAAAATTAATGAGTATAATCTTACTTAAAATCTAAGGTAGTATAAACCTTACTTAAAATGTTAGAATATCTTACTGTACATAAGCAGTTAAAATCTTTGTCTCTTAAAGAATTTTCGTGAAAAGTAGTTCTATCTTGCTCTTCACACACTATTATATATACCATAATAATTTAAGTAGAACAAAACAAAGTCTATTTCTCCCTTGTTTCAAACTGGTAATATCAGTGAAAATAAAATGATCAGGAATTTCATTCTGAAAAGCAAACTGTAGGAAAAATAGTTTTGTCTTTTTTTTTTTTAATGTTGATATTAGAAATTAGTCAAATTCCAGAGGGGAGAGAATTTCTTTTGGGCATTTGTTTGTGTTTTTTTGTTGGGGATTTTCAAATAGAATAACCTCCTCTAATTCTTACAAAGATTGTAAATAAAGTTATCAAATGAAGGCAGGGTCAGTCCACTGACTTATTTTGTCCAGAACAGTTTCCCAAGACTGCTAAAAGAAGGAGAATGAGATACAGAATCTTTGGGTTTCAAATTCAGTAACCCTTTTTATCTAACGTACAGACTCTGTTTTCTTTGGCAGTTTGACATCTCTGACTTAGTACGCTGCATGAGACTACAAAGACATGGAATGGTTCAGACAGAGGTGAGTCTTGGTTGGTGTCTCCTAATGAGGATTTTCATGAAGATGCTGATGTTTTCAAAATTCTGGTTAAACCATTTCTCTTCTTAAAGGGTCCCCACGTTATTACATAAAATCAAAGATTTATGGTGGTAAGGGACTTTTTTTTTAAGCATTAGGACTAATTCAGAAAAAAAATTAAAATATTTCAAAGATATGTCATTTAAATTTTGCCTTTAAATGCAGGAAATGAGGAAATGCAGTATCTGCACTGAACAATATACAGAGAATGGGGTGGCATGTTGATGGGGAAATTGGGGTTGGTACAAAATAGCATATAATTAGTGGCATTCTTTCCCCATTTCCAACTTTAAAAAGATATAGAAGGTAACATTCTTGCCACAGAAATTTCCTGAGAGGGATTGGATTCATTAGCATTGATGAGAAGTCCAGAGGGCAGGCTGGAATTGCTTCGCTTGGAGAAGGCACTTTTTGGGGAGAATGAATGGGTGGGTCTGTGTATCCTCTGTTTTGATCATGTTTTCATTTCTCTTACCTGAAATCAAACCATGGGTTATATCACCCGCTGACCTACAGACGGGTCTTTCACAAGAGCTACATTATGTAGAGTATCTGTCTGCTCTCAGTGGTTCCACTATCCTCATTGTTTGTATTGTGAGGAGACATACGGAAACTATTTTCATATTTCTGTAAATTCACATTTCTCTACCTCTTGAAGAATATAGAAGTTTACTATCTTTAAAATTAAAATTTGCCTACTTTCCCTTCAGATACATTTTTAATTCAAGTTAAATCTCCTAAATATTAAGCTGATTGACACATTTTTTAGGTTAAGAAAGCATACTGATCTGTATAAGCAGTTCCTTAGACCCAGGAAGTTCACTCATTCAACAGATACCTATCTGAGTGCCTCTTATGGACCAGGCACTCTTGGTAGGTGCTTGGAGCACATCAGTGAATGAAAAAAGATCTTCTCATGGGGTGGTGATGAGGAAGGTAGCTATTAAGCAGATTAACTAAGTAAGTTATATAGGATCTTTGAAAGCGGTAAGTGCTTTAGAGGAAAAAAAACAGAGTGGGGCGAAGAGGCTGAGTTGAGGCAGGCTGGGGGAGGTAGTTTAAATAGGGTAGCAGCACTGAGAAAGAAACGCTGAAGCAGAGACTTGAAGGAAGTACAGCGGGGGGCATGAGGCTAGCTAGGAATAAGAGCATTTAAGGCAGACAGAACCTCCTGCTCCGAGGTGGGAGCAGGCCTGGTGTGTTTAAGAATGGCTATGTCTGCTGTGGCTGAGGTGAGAAGGGGAGCTGACAGGGCCAGGTCTGGGCTTTCCTCTGAGTGAAATGGAGACATCACAGGATTATCGGTGTGGACTGACATGATCTGACTCACATGTTAAAGGTCCTCTGGCTACTGTGTTAAAACAAGACCCAACTTGGGGAGGAAGGTGCAGGGTTAGAAGCAGGGAGGTTAGTTTGGTGGCAGGCAGTGGGCCCAACCTGGAGTAGTAGTGACATAGGGAGAAGACGACATTATGGGAAGTAGGTTTGCTACCGGATTGTTTGTGGCATGAGAGAAAGTGAAGGACAGTCATGTGCAAATGTGGGAAAGTTGAAGTACAGATGAGCACAAAGGAAATAAAAGGGTTACTTATATTCCTACTCTTCAGAATTGTTCACATGTTTTAAGCAAGTCTCATATTCTTCAGGCCAAGCACATGTGTGCAGGCACGAACACTCACATACACCCGACTATTTTAAATGAAATTCAACTGTAGTTAGTGTTTTACTACTTTCCATTTAGTATGTTGTGAATTTTTTCTGTCTACCTTCAGACTCATTAATTCCTTGCTAAGTATAACAAGAAAACTCAGATCTCTGCACCATCAACTTAACAGAGAGTAATTTCATTTTCTAAAAACTTTGATTTCCATATTCTTTTGTTCCAAATATTTAAAGAGTATTATTTTTGTGTAGCTTCTTGGGTATTTCTTGACATTTCAAAACACCAAGATGAATTCAATAAATCTAGAGGAAATTTTGTAGGAAGTTTATTTTTCCACTATAAAAGCTAATCATATTACCAAAGCACAGAAATAAACGTGTCCTACCACAGACAATTTCAGTTAGAACTCTGGGATATTTCCGCCTGCCCACTCACTCACCCCCAAGGCTTTGCCCCTCCTCATTTTGTCAATCTGATTTCAGTTTCTTATCATTTTTATGACACTGCACAATTCTATATTCCTGCTTCTTTATATTAAACATTATCACAAAATTTTTCCATATTTTCAAAATTACTCATTTTATATATATATAATATATTTCATATTATACATCTAGAGTCTTCTCTCTCTCTTTCTCTCTTTCTCTCTCTCTCTCTTTTTGCCATAGGATCAATATATTTTCTGCTATCAAGTCATCCTTTATGTGCTGACACGTCTTCAAGCTGAGGAAGAGCAAAAAGAACAGCCAGAGCTTCTGAAATAACATGAAAAGAACAGCCTCCTGGATGCTTTTTCATCTTGCTCCCAACCTCCAACAGGTGTTCCTGTTCTCTGCTTAAAATAAAGATCACAGGGCAGCAAGTCCATACGATATTATTATGCTTATTCTCCTCTACCTTAGAGGGGCATTCTTCACAACAATAAATAATGTTGAAATGCTGTATTCTTACAGCTACTTTAACCTGTGATAATTTAAAAATTTTTAACACTAACTGAACAGTGCAGATCTTAGGGATGATTAAGGCAGCATTTGATTATAGTTGATGTTACAAGGACATGCTGAGTCTATTTTTGATGTACCAATCTTGTTTATAGCAAAATTCTTTCCCAGTATTTTAATAGAGTTATTTTATAGGGGATACTTGAAACCAGTATTTAAGCTTTAAATGACAGTAATATTGGCATAGAAAAGAAGTAGTAAATGTTTACTGTATCAGTTTCTAATGTTTACTATATAGAATTTCCTGTAATATATTTATATACTTTTTCACGAAAATGGAGTTACCAGATACATTTGTAACTGCATAATGTTTGTTATGTATCATCTCACTTTGTAAATAAAAATACATCTTAAAAATACGAACAAGGCAAAGTGTGTGCAAATTAAACATTTTCAGCTGTGTGTTCTTTCTTTCTATTTTTTTTTTAAGTAGGCTCCACCCCCGGTGTGGAGCCCAACTCAACCCAACTTGAACTCAAAACCCTGAGATCAATACCTGAGCTGAGCTCAGGAGTCGGACGCTTCACTGACTCAGCCACCCAGATGCCCCTTCAGTGTATTATTTCCTTTTTTTTTTAATTTTTTATTTAAATTCAATTTAGTTAATATATGCTGTATTATTAGTTTCAGGGGTAGAACCTAGTGATTCATCAATTGCATATAACACCCAGTGCTCATTCCATCAAGTGCCCTCCTTAATGCCCCCCATCACCCAGTTACCCCCCCCCCACCGCCCCTCAGTGTGTTACTTCTTAACAACACCCAGGCCCCTGGGGAAGCAAGAACTTTTGGACCCCAACTTCCCATCTCCCCACTTGGTCCCAGTAGTGCCAGCCACAGGGCCCAAGAATATTGTTGGAAACCCTGGTAGACCTTCAGGATCTGACATGAGGGTCCTGTACTGACCAACAGTAGCTAAGACATTCAGTCTCCCTGCCTTCTGCCTCAGTGTGAGTACTGTGCCTGATAATATAAATCAGAATACTGTCAAGTTCTAATTGTAGTAAAACAGGATATCTAAGCTGACAAGGGGTAATCAAAAGAAAACAACACCACATTTCCAGGGAGGTTATATTTGGTTCTGCCTGAGGAGAAAGAGATCTGCCTCAAAGAGCCGCATCTGAGTCTCCGCACTGACAGCATTTCCCTCGGTCCTCATGCCGCCGGCGGTTTTCCACTCCACCACGAGTGATGCCACGGCGAAACCCGGGGGGCTGCCTGATTCGTCCTCATGGGACTAACCACATGGAACTGGTACACTTGAATCTCTCCTCTTACCCGCGTGCAACAACTTGCGAGACCCCAGTCCTGAGTATCAGGCGCTGTTTGAGAGAGAAGACGTCAGTAAACACACACAGCCCCACAGCCATACGTTTGACTCCCCACCTGGTCCGAAGTAGCTTCAAATCTGGTAAGAGAAGCATCACCACCACCGTTCCTACTTCAGTCAGAACAGTTTTTACAGATTGCATTGTAGCTGAACATTTCATTTGAAAAAAGGTGTCTTTTGCTTTAAAGGATATTTGGAAACCTCTGTTCTGAGCGTGTTGGAATCCTGAGTCCTTGTTTTCCTGTCACAAGCACAGGAAACCAGGCCAGCAGGGCTCTGGGAGCCAGTACAGCTGGAGGTGATTAGCTCTCATCTGCAGTCAACAACAGAGATGGGAGAGGGGAAAGCTGAAGGAGGATCCTTTTTCTGGAAAGAATGTAGCTAGGAAATGGAAACTGTGGCAAGAAAATGTGGTTTCAGTTTAGGACCCCTGAATGGAAACTTCATCATTGCAAACATGTTACCACCCTCATCTGGGACCTGGCTCCACTACCATGGAATGGAATGAGACATTGGCTAGGGCCACTCTGGTTAGAAAGTGCCTGGCGCTTGCATGGTAAGGCAGACCACTGAGCCAGAGTGACACATGGAGGTACTCAAATGTCAAATGAATGGATAAATACAACATGGTTCTTAACACACATTATAAGTACTATAAAATATACACCAGAAGATGTAACAGCTAAAAACATAATAGAAGCTCGTGTACCTAATAGTTCTGGCCAGGTGAACAGCCCAGCAAGATAGCTCTCTCTCCAATTTTCAGGGACCCAGGCTGATGGAGGTTCTATAATCAACACACAACTTCCAAGGTCATCCTGGGAATTGTCTTCATTCCCCCAGCCAGAAAGGGGAAAGAGCATAGAGAACCACCTGTGGGGGATTTTATGAGCTGGGCAGGCATAGAAGCAAAGCATATCATTGCCACTCATTCCATCAGCAAGAACTGGCCAAACCGTGCCCCTCAGTGCAAGGAAGCTGGGAAACGAGTTGGCCAAAACAGCTGTTTGCCCGTGACAACTCTGTGCTACAGAAGGGAAAGCATAAATCCTGATGGAATCTATTTCTAAAATTGAAGTGATGTGTTGTAAAAGAATGGCATCTTTTTTTTTTAAGATTTTATTTATTTGAGACAGAAGGAGAGCAGAAGGGGGGAGAAGAGGCAGATGGAGAGGGAGAAGGAAGCTCCCCACTGAGCAGAGCTTAAGGTGGGGCTCGATCCCAGGACCCCAGGACCATGACCCAAGTCGAAGCTAGGGGGGCCACCCAGGTGCCCCAAAAGAATGGTGTCTTAAGTATAGTCCTAAGCATTGCAGGATTAGAAACAGCATTTGTCCCCAAATCAAAAGTTGGGTAAGTGCCATTAATAAAAATATTAATGAATTATCATGTTTTAAAGGAGAAAAATGGCTTTTGAGAAAAAAATCAGGTGTTCACATCTGTGGTTCCAGATAGCCTGCTAGATCTCTTGCTTTTAAAATGACTAGTTATCTAAATGCAATGTGATAGATCCAAGAAGTTAAAAGAACAACTAGCCAAGGGGCGCCTGAGTGGCTCAGCCGTTGAGGGTCTGCCTTCGGCTCAGGTCATGATCCCAGGGTCCTGGGATCGAGCCCCGTATTGGGCTCCCTGCTCGGCAGGGGGCCTGCTTCTCCCTCTCCCTCTGCCCCTGCTTGTGTTCCCTCTCTTGCTGTGTCTGTCAAATAAATAAATAAAATCTTTAAAAAAAAAAAAAACTTGCCGAAGTTATCCTCTGGTGATAGATACCTTGACTTTTAGAGAATGTGTTCCTATTTTACATAATTCAGAAAGATTCAAGGTACTTTGTTATGGTGGAGATAAATGTAACAAATTATGCATTACCCTGCATAATATTTTAAACCCAATGCAAATTATATTGATTTGGAATTGTATTTGGCTACAAGTTGCCAAAAACTAACCAAATGGGCTTCTACAAATCAGAGATTTCTTTCCCTAAGAAAACAAATTCAAAAGCACGCAGTTGCTGGGGTTGGTTCTACAGTTCAAGAATGTCAACAGAGGGGTGCCTGGGTGGCTCAGTCATTAAGCGTCTGCCGTCGGCTCAGGTCATGGTCCCAGGGTCCTGGGATTGAGCCCCGCATTGGGCTCCCTGCTCAGCAGGAAGCCTGCTTCTCCCTCCCACTCCCCCTGCTTGTGTTCCCTCTCTCACTGTCTCTCTGTCAAATAAATAAATAAAATCTTAAAAAAAAAAGTCAACAGATACATAATTATTCTGGCCTTACCTTCACTGAAAATGGCTGTTTCAGCTCCAGCTATTAGATCCACATTCCAGGAAGGAAATAGGATTGACAAGGAGAAAGGGTCAGTGCCTGGGGCAAAAAAGCAAAATTTTCCAGAAATCACAAGCAGATTTCCCCACTTCTATCTTATTAGCAAGAACTGCGTCACATAGCCATCTCTAACTTCAAGAAAGCTATTTTTAGCTAGTCATGTTGCTGTCCTGAACAAAATCTTGGTTCTGTTAATAAGGGCAAAAGAAACAGTAGATATAGGACAGCAGCATGTACCTTTCCATTTCTGCCAGTTTCCACCATTTCTTAGTGGCTAACACTGTGTCAATCTTTTGATCTTCCTGACCCCAGTAATATCTGAATTTATTACTGTTGAAAAGTCACAGACAGGAAGTATTTGAAAGTAGTCTTCAGCTTCATGAAGACTACATATTTTTATCCATTTTATCCACCCAAAATGAAGTATACTCTAGAGGTCATGCTAAGCAAACTCTCAGGACACTTACTCATAAACTATGTTGCCAAGTTTTTAACTTAGCTCTATCCTGCAGAATGAGTAATCATTCAGGTGGGGCTCCTCCAGGTGGGCAAAGCACACAGGCTGGTCAGAAGGTTGCTTAAAGGCTAAAATATGATTCATTGGGGCGCCTGGGTGGCTCAGTCAGTTAAGCATCTGCCTTTGGCTCAGGTCATGATCCCAGGGTCCTGGGATGGAGCCCCATTTCGTGCTCTCTGCTCAGTAGGGAGCCTGCTTCTCCTTCTCCCGCTGCCCCCTCTTCCCCCCCCCCCCCCCCCCCCCCCCCCCCCCCCCCGGCTCGTGCTCATTCTCTTTCGCTTTCTCTCAAATAAATAAAATCATTTTTTTAAAAAATGATTCATTAAACTGGATTAGGCTGAACTCCCCTTTGTACTCCAGGATGAATTGTAGCTGCACAAGGAAGGGAACAGTTCATGCTTAATGAGCACGTCCCACACATTGTACCAAGTGTTTTCTACTCTCAGGGTGTTCAGGATTGAATGTTACCACCCTTTTTTAAGAGAGGAAACAAGTTCAGAGGGACTGTCACTTGCCCCATGTTGCCCAAATAACAGCTGGAATTCAATTAGAAGTCGGCCTAACTTCAACCCACAACTCCCAAGGAGTCCTAGCTCTTTTTTTTTTTTAAGATTTTTTTTTATTTATTTGACAGAGAGACACAGCGAGAGAGGGAACACAAGCAGGTTGAGTGGGAGAGGGAGAAGCAGGCTTCCCGCGGAGCAGGGAGCCCGATGCGGGACTCGATCTCAGGACCCTGGGATCATGACCTGAGCCGAAGGCAGTCGCTTAACTGAGCCACCCAGGCGCCCCCATGAACCCATGATTATTTAGATCAGTGAGACAATTTATTTAGTTAGAGCTTTTTTTATTTTTCTTGTTCAGCTGCATTCTTCATGCTAAAGATAATGTGTAGCCTCCAGGACAACTTGACTCTGTCCAGTTCTCAGTAACATGTTTACAAAGCGCTCCTGGAGATGACAGTTTTCTGACAGGACTACCTTCAAACCCTTACATTGATTTGTGTTGTGACTGTCTTAAAGGATGGTTTTTAGTGGTCTTGTCCCCAGACCTGTCCTGACTGTGGTAAATAATGACAATGTACTTGAGGTTTTCAGAACAGAGGATTGGATTTCACCACTTCGTGTTAGGTGCCTATTTAGAGAAAAATTTAGAAATTCATTTTTTATGGATTCTTTAAAATTCATGTTAATGCTCATT